TACATCTTGTTATCTCGTGTTTCTCTGTGGTGGCATCATGGTTAGGAATGTTTGGTGAGTTTATGCTCACAGTTTCCACATAAGAACTCTACCTTACTTTAGCTGTGCAGATTAAACAGATAAGCAATGCAACAGATGAACTCTCAGTATGGCATGATAGCAATATATTTCCTGATGTAAAGAACAGAAGTCAAATGTTGAAATGGCATAAATCTGCCAGTAAGTTGGTTTCAACTAATTGATTGATTGATTTATTTCTTGTCACATGTACCAAAGTACAGTGAAAAGCTTTGTTTACGAGCAGTACAGGCAGATCATATTAAGCAAGGTTGTACAGATAAAAAAAGATATACTTTCATTTAAAAAAAAAGTGTTTCACAGGATATGAGCATTATTGGTTGGGACAGTATTTATTGCCTATCTGCAACTGCCCTTGAGGAGCTGGTGGTGAGCAGCTACCTTGAACTGCTGGCGTAGGGATGCCAACAATGCTGTTATTTAGTTCCAGGTCTTTGACCCAACAGCATTGAAGGAACAGCGGCGGCAAAGTCAGAATGGTGTGTGGCTTGGAGGGGAACTTGTAGCTGATGCTGCTCTTGCCCTTCAAGGGGGTAGAGGGCACAAGTTTGGAGAGTGCTGTCAAAGGGTGAATCACTACAGTGTATTCTGTAGGTCATATGTATTGCAGCCACAGCGGTGGGGAAATGAGTGGATGTTTAAAGTGATGGACAGAATGCCAATTGAGCTGGCTTCTTTGTTACGAATGGTTTTGAGCTTCCCAAGTGTTATTGTCATCCAAGCAGGTAGACAGAATGCATCCTACCACATTCTTGGCAGGTAGAATTTGGAGATTATAAGCCGATATTATGTACTGCAAAATTTGCAGCTTCTAACCTGCTCTTGTAGCCACGGTATCTTTCAATTTGCATTTTATAGAATAGCGACATTATTGTATTCCTTTAAATGAAATATAACCTCTCCACTAAGTGTTATTACCATCAGAGGGTGGAAATTTACAAGAGAAAATGTTAATTGACAATTTACCCAACTTTCCTCAAACATGCTTAAATGTTTCAGTAAAGTATGCAGGCATATGGGGAAATGGGAACAATACAATTCTAGAAAAGACAAGTGATAGATGTGAAATCCATAAGAAATACTGAAGGGCTTCATCACAGCATATAGCAAAACCGCTGATAGCAAGGGATTTCAACAAGACAGTGGCTGTGGTGGGATGATGGAAAAAAAATATAATTTCACATTGTGTAGATCTGGCAACCAGATTTAGTCAGTCAGTCAACATCAATACATAGTTAAAGATAAGGAAATAATTGTTGATAAGGTAATAGAAAAGTGGACAGGCGCCAGACTTCAACCACCTGCAAAGGTTTCTCACTGATCATGGGGGAAGCGAAGAATTTGCTAACAATAATTTTAGTGATGTGTGCGCAAATCTGAATGTAACAGCAAAAAAGCATTTCACCATCGGGTATGTGAAAGGGGCCACACAGTAGGAGACAAAATGGTTCAAAAATATTTTGGCAGGACAACCAAACTGTAAATTATCTTCACAAACACTAGCTGTCCATGCAAAGATCAGATCATTCTTGGTAGAAATCATGAGGTTCTATCAGTAAAGAGCAATCAGGAACAAAAACAAAGTTGCTGGAAAAGCTCAGCAGGTCTGCAAGCATCTGTGCAGGGAAAAAAAACAGAGTTAACGTTTTTGGTCTGGTGACCCTTCCTCAAAGAGCAATCAGGCCCTAGTTTGGGAAGGGAATACAATTAGCTCTACCTTTTTGGAACATCTGAATGCACCACATGAAGGCAGAATGGCTTTCATTAAAGTTGAAGTCTCAAAGATTTCAATGACGCTGAAGACGCAATACAGGGCCAACGAAACGGGTTTCAATCACGGAGACGCGATTTACTATAAAAGGAAAGCAGTTAAAGAGTAGAAAGGCCAGCGAAGATTTACTGGCAAAGACAGAAAAATAATAATATATTACAAAATTTTAAGCTCCAATTGAGTTACAGAAAGTAGCAGGGCACTTCTCATTTCCAATTATTTGCACAGCTATGAAGATCAGACTGTCAAAACTGAAAGTTTGTCACGAGCCACCAGTACCAAAGGACACATACCAACACTGGATCCTATAAAGGCTGTGCCTTTATATTTTTCTGTACTTTTAAAATTGTGGACTGGAAATGGGGAAATAACAGTTTTTAAACAAAGGATTGCTTAAAGATTACTGCACTTTTTTTTGAAAGTGGGTAACCTCTCACTCATTGCAAGTACAAAGTACACAGCTGCTGGTTCAAGTATTAGAAGGAGATGGTGCAGATAAGCTGTAGCTGGGGTGAGGTTTATAAAGTATCTGATTGGTCTATGGACTGGTGACCAGTTCACGATGACAAAGGCTGTCCACCTGCCAACAGCTGTGAGATTGGTTCTCAGGTAGCTGAGCAAACTGAGCTGTGAACATGACATAGAAAGGTCATCAGCTCACCATCAGCTCAGGAACTGTGTCGAGTTTGCAGCAAAACGTACATTCAGTCTAAAGCAAATCAGTTCATCATTCATTCAGCAGTTACTGCAAGCTGCAACTTGTAATTAATAAGGGAGGGACTTTTCTACAAGTGTAAACTAGTGAAACCATCAATAGCATTCTAACAAACACAAGAATCATCACAGACACCCTGTGAACAGGAACCAATGGAACTGTCTTCACAGTCTCTACCTCCACCCATAACACCAATGCTTTGTGCGAGTGTGTTTGCGTTTGTATAATAAGTATACAAGGGGAGCAAAGTTTTAACTAATAGAGTTATAACCAATGGTTCATAATTTCTTCCTGTGACAAGGGGTGATCAACCAGTCAGAGTCCAGAAACAGGTAGAAGGCAAGATTCAGGAGGCAGCTTAACAAGGTCAAGGAATCTGTTTTTTTCCTTTATGCATTCACAGGATGAGGATGTCGCTGCTGGGCAGCATTTATTGTCCATCCCTAATTGCTCGGAGGGCAGTTAAGAGTCAACTACATGGCTGTGGGTCTGGAGTCACATGTAGGCCAGACCAGGTAAGGATGGCAGTTTCCTTCCCTAAAGGACATTAGTGAAACAGATGGGTTTTTCCAACAATTGACAATGGATTCATGGTCATCATTCAACTCTTAATTCTGGATATTTTATTGAATTCAAATTCCACCATCTGCCATGGCAGGATTCGGACCCAGGTCCCCAGAACATTATCTGGGTCTCTGGATTAACAGTCCAGCGATAATACCACTAGGCCATCACCTCCCCTGTTCATATAGTACAAGCCAGGAATACCACCAGGAGCAGATGCCCATGTGATTGGGAAGTCCCAATGACAGCCAGCATAGTTGAGACAAACTAATAAAAGCTGCCAAACAACAAGAAATACAACACAAGTGTCAAAAAGTAGGACTTCACAGAATGATGGGTGAGATTCCGAAATGCAGAGAGATGCTCAAGAGTAGTTGGGCATGTGAACTGGCTTGGCACCCAAACAAGAGATACCAGTTGAGATCCTGGAGTTCAGTACATCTATGAAACATCCCAAGGTTGAAGATTATATTTGGGTGAAAAACCATTGTATTTTTATATTGCCGTCACAGAGTCACTAGGAACACGAATGGTGTTCAGGGAAGCTTTTTACACAAATAGAGGGTTTATGATTTTTCATTTGGGAAATGTTCCCTTTCAGTTTGGAAAGCTGAAAGATTAGGAGAGTAGTAAAAAGGTACCTGAGCAGCAGAAATTCGTGCTGTTGAGACAAGAGACATGGTGCTTTCCTTGGCAAAAATAGTGGAAGAAATTCAAAAAAGGGATTCAGCAGCAATACCTACTGAGTACTACATCAATAAGAAGTCACTGTGGGAAAACATACATTTAACAAGATGCGGAAATGAAAAAATAAGGATCGATATTGCTGGTGAGTGGAGACATCTTCAAATTGAATGGATAGATAGGAGCAGTCAACTATCTCATTGCTTAATAAAGAAAAGGAGCAAGCTCTAAGAAACTATCAAACACTGACAAGAGGTCATTTGGAATTCTAACAGATACAAAAAAAAAAGTGGGGCTGTAATATGTTGTCATACTGCACAGTATGTTGTCATTTTATATTTCTTTCCTTTATTTTCATCATTCAATTTGTACTGATTTTTTTTTTTTAAAACAAGGGAATCTGTTCTTAATCTGGCAGGGTAATGCAGGGATGCCTGTGACCAAATGCAACTGAAAGAGTGGTGCTGAAGTTTGTGTTGTGAGAACTGAAATAAAACTAGACCAGAAGAGTATGTACTGCACTGTCTAATCAGTATTTCAACCTCCGGTGTTTAACGTGGATCTCTTGTGCCAGACTTTTCCATAAGAGGAAACGTGTTCTCCACATTCAGCTTGTCCATACCCCTCAGGATCTGTGTGTTCTATCAAGGTGTCTCTTACTGGATAATACCACTGATCATCATCACCTTCTTCACTGTTCTAAACTCCAGCAGACACAGACCTAGCCTGTCCAAAGTTTCCTCATACGACAATGCACCGATTCCAGGTACTTGTCTGGCAAGAATTCTCTGAGCTGCTTCCAATATATTTAATAAGGAGACTGATACTGTACACAGTACTCTAGATCTGGTCTCACCAATGCCTGGCATAGATGATGCCTGACTTCCCTGCTCCTGTAAAATCTGAAAGGACTGCAGATGCTGTAAATCAGGAACAAAAACAGACGTTGCTGGAAAAGCTCAGCAGATCTGGCAGCATCTGTGAAGAAAATATCAGAGTTAATGTTTCGGGTCTGGTGACCCTTCCTCAGAGCTAGTGGGGTCACCGGACCCGAAACATTAACTCTGATATTTTCTTCAGATGCTGCCAGACCTGCTGAGCTTTTCCAGCAACTCCTGTTTTTGTTCCCTGCTTTAGTATCTATTTCCATTTCCAAGAAACAATGACATTTTGTTAACTTTCCTTATTACTTATTGTAACTGCACGTTAACTATGTTAATAGTGCATTAGGTTACCCAAGAATCTCTGCATCTTAAAGCTTTGCAGTCTGTCACCATTAAGATCATAGGTCTCCTTTTTAATCTTCCTGTTGACATCAACAATTACACTTTTTCCCCACATTATTTTCTACTTGTTAAATTATTTCCCACTCTCAATGTCCTTTTTGCAACTTACGTTTCGTCCAATCTTTTGTGTCATTAACAAATTTAATAACCATACCTTTGGCACCTTAATCTATGTCACTTGTACGATTTGGGAAAAGACAGAAGCCCCAGAAGTGATAACCGTGACATGCCACCCATTATGTTTCTTCCCCCACTAGAAAATGGCCTATTTATGACTACAGTTTCAGGTTAGCCAACCTTCTATCCATGCCTATATGTTAGCTCCTTGGCCATGAGCTTTTATTTTCCACAATAACCTTCGATTGGGCACCTAATCAAATGTCTTCTAAAAAATCTAAGCATATAACACCCATTGGTTCCCAATGCAGATTACTTCCTCCAAAATTCCAAACACAGGGAAATCATGTTTATCCGTTCACAAGATCATGTTAACTCTGCCTGATTATCTGGAATGTTTTTCAAGTGACTTGTAAAAACACCTTTAATAATAGCTTTGCTAAGATGGATGTTAAGTTAATTGGCCTGCAAAATTCCTGCTTTCTGTCTCCCTCACTTTCCTTTTAATAAAAAGGAATCATGGTCACTATTTTCCCATCAAATGGAACCTTCTCCAAATCAAAGGAATTTTGGAAAATTAGAACCAAAGCAGCAACTATTTCAACTTGCCCACTCTCTCTGCTTCCACTGCACACTTGGCACATCCGCACATATCCCTTCAAATGGCAACAGGCCATGCCAAAAGTGGGCTGACCACCAAGTATGGGCGTTCTGAGCTTCTCTCAACACCAACAGCAGCAATGCGATTGAGCTAAATTACACGGCGCCTGTCTTTTCTTTCCCTGCACTGCATCAGAACGGTACCAGTTAAGGAATAAAGAATGGAGAAAATGAATATTATTTGTTGTTTCAGGGTGTTCTTCGAGGAAACCACCTCCAAAGGGATTCATAGTTAAGAGATGAGAAAGAGTAGGCACCGAGGAGGAATGGGAATTGAACACTTGAGATGTGCAGACAAAGGCAAGTGACAATGCCGAAAAGATTTGGTCATTAAGCTTGAGGAACAACCTAAATCGTTATGGTGCTGAAATTCTCTCTATCACTTCACCACAAGGAACGGAACAGAACGCACATACAGACACAGAGAGAACTGTTGAGGTAAGCAAACGTCACATTTGATATCTACAGCATTTCATTTTTAAAATCGATCCAGTTTACGTGACACCAAAACATATCACACAGTTTCTGCCTGCTCGTCAAAAACCCAACATGTATAAAATTTGCTGCTCCAGAACACAACCACAAGACAAAACTTGCAATTACTCACACTGCTGACTCTAAACCACACATGTCAGCAACCCCAGTATAGGTCAGGTATTAATTCTTTCCCTGTTCTTTCTAATATACATATAACATGGATCAGACATGGAACTGCTTGGGATAAATTAAAAGATTCATCACTCTTGAATTGGAATAGAACATGATCCAGTGTTATAATCTGCATAGAAACAAAAGTTTGACTAGGATGTTCTTTATTGAATTACATCACAAGATTTCAAGTCTTAAAATACACTTTTATTGCAGAGCAAGTTGTCATTTGAAGTTGAAGTTGCATTCCCATAAATCACAACTTGAAGTGAAGTGCTAACACACTGTGGAGCTGCAGGAAGACAGCAGGCCAGACAGCATCAGAAGAGCAGGAAAGTTGTTGTTTCAGGTCGGGACCCTTCTTCAGAAACGGCCCGATGTTCCTCCAGCTCCACACTGTGTTATCTCTGACTCCAGCATCAGCAGTTCTTACTATCTTTAAGTGAAGTGTATCTTCTCTCGGAATCAAAGTTAAAGCCAGAGTTTTGTTCCTTCAGACATTTCTCACCAGAAAATAAAAACCAACCTAAAAACCGAAATTCTGTATAGTATCATACTGCATTCCAAGCTGAAAAAAAGCTGGCAAAATAGCTTGTTTCACTAAATATAAAAGAACTAAAACTCTATTTAGGACGGTTAGATTGACCAGGCTCCATCTAGTGGCAGAAGTTATTTTTTAAAATTCATTTATAGGACATGGGCATCCCTGACTGGGCTTTCAATGCTAGTCCATCAGCTGGTAGTGAGCTGCTTTCTTGAACCTCTGCAGTCCATGTGCTGTCGATAGTCCCACAACGCTGCTAAGGAGGGAGTTCCAGGATTTTGTCCCAACATCACTAAAGGAGCAGCGATATATTTCCAAGTCAGGACGATGAGTAGCTTGAAGGGGACTGGCAGATGGTGATGATGTTCCCATGTATCTGCTGCCCCTATCCTTCTAGACAGAAGAAGTCAGGAGTATGAAAGGTGCTACCCAAGAAGCCTTGGTGAATTTCTGCAGTGCGTCCCGTAGGTGGGAGACAGACACTACAAATTGGTCATTAAAAAGGTAGCAACTGCACTGACAGATGTCTGCTACTAGATGGAGCTCAGGATGTCAATTCAAGATCAGGAGTAGAGCAAACGGTGAAAAGAACAGGGAGTCCTAGACTCATTGAGTCACACAGCACAGAAACAGACACTTTGATCCAACCAGTCCATGCCAAATATAAACCCAAACTAAATTAGTCCCATCTGCCTGCTTCTGGCCCATATCCCTCTAAACCTTCCCTATTCATGCACTTATCCAAATGCATTTTAAAACTTTGTAATTGTACCCACCATGCAAGGGCTTGGCTTTTTTTTGGCTTTGGCAGGTGAAGCAACACTGAGAAGCAAGGCTGGGGGACAACAGCAGCAGTGATGAGGGAGGAGAAAAACACGTTTGGGGACAAGGGCAGAAGCGCTGCAGGGGAGTGCAGGAGGTTGACGGCTGACCTTATGTAGAGGTTTATAAAATCATGAGTGGCACAGAGAAGGTAAATAGCAAAGGTCTTTTCCGAAGGGTGGGGGGAGTTCAAAACTAGGGGGCATATTTTTAACAATACAGGAGATATATTTACAAGGAGCAACTTATTCCACACAGAGGCTGGTGCGTATCTGGAACAAAATTACCAGAGGAAGTGGTAGATGCGAAAAAATATTTAATCCACCTCAAATGGGTGACCACTTGTTTTTAAACACAGTAGCTCCTCATTCCAATTCTCCCACAAGAGGAGACTCCCTCCCCCAATCTACTCTGTCAAGACTCCTCAGAATCTTCCATGTTTCAATTATGTCGCCCCTTGCTCTTCTGAACTCCAGTGGATACAAGTCTAGCCTGTCCAACCTTTCCTCATAAAGCAACCCAGGTATTATTCTCGTAAATTTTCTCTGAACATCTTCCAAGACATGTACCGTACTCTAGATGTGGTGACACCAATTCTCTACTTCACTGAAGCAAAAGCCTCACATTAGCATTCCTATTTATTTGCTGCATACTAACTTTTGTGATTCTTGCACAGGGACAGTTCTATAGTATAGAAACATAGAATATAGCAGGAATAGGCCATTCAGCCCTTCAAGCCTTCTTGATCCTTCAGCGGTTATGGCTGGCCATCCAACTCAGTGCTCTGTTCCAGTTTTCTCCCCATACCCTTTGATCTCTTAAGCCCTACAAACTAAATCCACATCTTTCTTGAAAACATTCAATATTTTGGCCTCAACTGCTTTCTGAAATAGAGAATTCCGTCAGCTCACCACTCTGGGTGAAGAAATTTCTCCTCATCTCGGTGTTAAAATGCTTATCCATTATCCTTGGGCTATGATCCCTGGTTCTGGGCCCCCGGTTATTAAGAACATCCTTCCTGTATTTACCCTGTCCAGTCTTGTTAGAATTTCATAGATTTCTACGAGATTGACCCCCATTCTTCTAAACTCCAGCGTATATAGTCGCAATCGATCCAGTCTCTCCCCAAACAAAAGTCCATTAATCTCTCACCATTAAAATGATATAGTGCTTTTTTAAAATCTTTGTGTTATAATACTGGGAAATGTCAACTCACAAAGGTCAAATTCCATCATCTGATTGTTATCGCCAAAACCAATTTCTGGACTAAAATGTTTATTAAACGAGAAGTACTGACCTAAAATCAATACAGCACAAATTGAAGCAGGTCCAGGAGATCCAAGTGGAATAACAAAGTGGAACGGACTGAAATAGCCATTTTATCTAAAGACACTGAAACCAAGCAACTGAGTCAGCATCCAGACACTTACATCCCATTTTAATTCACACTCAGATGGCTATGCACACATATCAGATATGGAAAGTCTCCTACTTATTCTGAGCAGCAGATGTTATCTGTTTGGGCCTCAGCAAAGCATTCAACAAGGTTCTACATGGTAAACTGGTTAGTAAGATTAGATCACATGAGATCCGGGGAGCTAGCCAACTACAAAATTGGCTTGAGGATAAGAGACAGAAAGGGTGGTAGAGAGATAGTAAGAACTGCAGATGCT